TTTTAAAGAGAGGTTTTTGTTTTAACCTTTTTCTTAATTTCAGCTTCTGTATAATTATCATTCATTGCATGCAAGACATGGATGCATGAATGCATACATTTAACTTCGGATAGGTTTGCCAAAAGGTAAATTAGAGTGATAATAGCAGACCTGCAAATACTGATAGATATATAATAATTAGCAGGTGGGTGATAGATTGTGGAATATTTAATTTTTTATTAATATCTTCATTGAAGAAAAAAATCAAATCTAAGATTATTCAAGAACAAAGGTTCAAGGTATTTCTGGAAATGTTGCTGGGAAATGTGTTTGGCTCTTAAATATGGTCTAAAAGCTTTCGTGTTATATCAGAAACTTTATTGATGAAGCAAAGGCCCTTAGGAAATCATATCTCCCACTTTCTTGCCTCTGTCCTCAGGACAGACCCTCCCTCAATTAAACTGCTGAAAATTGCACCGAATGTTTGGGTGAGAGGTCATCCTTTCTAACCCTGTTTGTACCCTCCGTGATAATAATCCTAAACTCATCACTTTGTTCTTTGATACTACGTTAGGGCAAGACGAATCCTAGCATGTCCCGGCATATCTCATCCTAACCTATAGGTCACCAAAAAATCAGACGATAACTGCAGGATGATTAACTCTGGCATTATTTCACCAACCTAATAATAAACACACTGTGGATGTGGATCTAGAAGCATTTATTTGTACAGAGAGACAGAGAGAAGCCTGTGTGTGTTTTGACTGAGGGAAAGAGTAATGTAAAATTATAAATCCATACTGGCTGAAGTTAATCTTACAGATTTTCTTTTTTTTCCCCCTGTAATCCAAAGGGAGCAACCAGTCTGTACAAATCAGTCTTAAAAGGCCAGAAACAAAACATCATTTTATTGTACTACAGAGGTATGGCATGCTGGTCTTACGGACTTTCTCAACATGGACATCCTGTGGCTTCTTCCTTGTTCAGGCACAAGAGAATTGTCCTATTCAATAATGGAAATAATATGAATGGGAATCATTTGTAATAAAAAAAAAGTGAATGTTGATAAAATTTAATGGCATTTGGGGAAGATCATGAGGGAATCAAGAAACCAGTTACATGTCAGAAATTATGTGAACCACAAGCAAAGTATTACAATACACCAAGGAATCTAAAACTAGTTTATAGTGTTCTCTGAAGGGATGTTGTCTTTGTTTCTAATAACTTTTAATCTTAAACTATTCCTATTCCCCCTTATCTACTTTTGAATTATAACACATTGCCAGATTTCATTTAGCAAATGTTATATGAATATTGAGTGTTGAGTATAACACAGCACATATTTGCAGTATTGTTTGAAATGTTTTTTATAATGTAATAGCTAGAGGGAAATGCAACCAGTGAGCAACTGCAACAATAATCAGTGTATTATTTAGGCATCTCAACAAGAAGATACACTTTCATTTTCCTTGATAGCAGCATCTGTAAATGTTATCAACTAATAATGTTATCAGATATGTTTGATTTGGACAAAATTTAAAGAACATATAGCACAGACTATGTTTTTTTTAAAAAAAATCCAACTGGAAGGCATTTGCTGAAGGTACACTTGCACATTTAAGCTCAGTTAACATTTATAATGCTTTGATTCTTTTGAAACAGGTGCTGTGGGATGTGCTAAAATATAAACCTGGATGAACTATAGTAAATTATAGGCTGCCAATATGAACAAAAAAAAACCATGCTTGAGACATGCATATGGTGTCGTGAGAGCCAGGACCAGCCATAATGTCTTCTGCCAATGAAGTTCTAGCAAGAGAGTCACTAAGGCTGTGATCCAATACACTCAAAAGGAGGAAAGGAGAAGAAGGCCCTATTAAATGCTAAAGAGACCTGCAGACAAATAAAGAGGAATAGCAATTGGCTACACATTCCTAGCAGATTTTAAAAGAGTGTCCAGATTTTAGAAAGAATATTCCTTTTGGATGAAAGCAATACATTTATTCTACAAGTGAAAATTCTTCCAGCGTGTTATAATAATGAACCAAGAACAGAGTGAAGGATAGGTCAGCAGCACATGCCAGAAATCAATCTGATTAGGCCACATAGTAGTCATAGTTCTCTAAGAACAGACAATATCACCCATAGGGAACCAGTAATATATCACTGGGGCATCTGCCTCTATGATACCTCACTATAATTCTTTTCTCACAGTTAGTCCAATGTTACAGTGAGCACACGAGTGATAGGAATCACAATTGTGCTGGCTCACCGCTTTAGGTTCACCTTCATGCAAGATATAGTGGCAGGGAACAGGATCAACTAGTATGAGCCATTCCCCATTCCATGTGTTTGCTGTATATATGAGAGACTTGTGTGGGAGCTTGTGAGAAGAAGGTCTATGTGCTGACACTTCAAGCAACTGATCTGTTTGCATGTACATACCCAGAACTTCAAAATTTGAGGATTTCTGGGCAAGAAACTGAAGGAAACTTTTCCTTTGAAGGCATTGCTATGTCCCACTATTCAGCAAGGCTTATTAGGATGATGAAACTCAGAATACATGTGTAGTAATGTCAGTTATCAACACCAGAGGCACTCCAAGTAGACAGCTACTGGTCAAAGGGCATTTAATAGAATACCAAGTTTGCAAACTTTGTGTTTTGTTTGTTTGTTTGCTTTTAATGCAGTACAACTGTTTTGATTCTCACCTGACACAATAAATAAATAAATAAATAAATAAATAAATAAATAAATAAATAGTTATCAGATGAATTGTAACAACAAATTTAGCCATCATATGCTAAAAGGTCAACTGCCAATGTACAACTCAAATGTAGTCCCACTTCTCTCCAGTACTACTCTCAGTTGCACAGTGTTAAGAGTACAATAAAAACTTTATGATGCTTAAAGCTTTCACCCTACTCTTCAGGAACCTCAGTGTCACTTACCACCCAAAGAGACCCTTGAGATCCCATCACCTTTCTTCACTTCCCCCACCAACATCTGAAGCTATTACATTGAATTCACACATCGTGTCTGTAGAGTCCTAAGGGAAATTCTAACCTAATGTGTATCTTGTGTGCAAACCTCGTCATGTAAACATCTAATGGTTAACCTCTAATCTCACTAACTCCTTGCTGTATAAACATCTGTTAAGATCCTGTGATCCTGTGTCACAATGACCAGCTTAACTGGATTTCATACAGGTTTGAAGACTAATTTCAGCTCTGTTTCCTCCACAGAGGAGTACCTCTGGGGCAATACACATGAAAAATGTTACATAAGGAATGAAAATGTGGATTTTGCATTCCAGCGTAATGTTCTTCACATGTATTCTTTCTGGAAAGGGCATTGGGGGATTCTAACATTTGTTCAGAATCAACCCTATATAAACCATCTTGCTTTTCAAAAACAGTTATTCAAACATAAATAGATTTCAGTAGAACTTATGTCTTTGAGTAAATTTTCTTAATATTACTACCAAATTAGGCAATGTCCAGACAGAGTTTTCAAACCTCTTTGTGCTGTAGGTAACTGAGAAACCTTTTTTTAAAAGCATAATATAAAAGGACATAAGACTTATAGGAATGGGACTTCTGCCTAACCTTTGTGACTTAAAATCACTGGTTGATATATCTTCTATTAATGTGCTCATCTGCATCTGTTATAGGCTTCATATTTATGTTTCTATTTCTTCTACTCATAAGTGTGTTTACTCATTTTGTGCACTGCTAGATATTAATAATCTCGGGGGGGGGGGGGGGGGGTAGTATGCATGCTTCAATCCTACTTAGAGGAGGAAAAAGAGAATAAGAAGCCTGAACTGTAGATGCATCTCAGCTGGAGCTTCTAAGCCGTCCGCTGTTTGGTGCTTGAAAAGTTTGGTCATGAATTACAAAGGTGGCAATATGGATGGCATTAACCTAAATGGAAAAGTTGCCAGTGGAATGATGTATTTATTATCTAAGCATTCTAATGTTTTTTATCCATACAGCAGTGGATAGTCTGACATTACAGTGCAGAATTTTTAAGTCCTACCTCGAGGCAAATCTCATACTTACTAGCAAAAATGAAAGTATGAAATGCTTTTAATGTATATTTAACAAGAGATAGTCTGATGATTACTGATGTGTATTCTCCCTGGATTTCCCCCTTCTCTGTCAGAAGGCAGTGTTAAGAAAAAACATTTTTACTGATTTATATTATCGGCAACTATACCATGTTTACTTTTTACAATGTTTGTAACTGGCATTTAATAAAAATGGCACAAACCATTGTATTTTAAGTCAAATCCACACCACAAGGTAACAATTAATTCCCAATTAACATAGAAGATCCATGAATCAAACAGTGGAATTTGTCCAAGTCTTTTGATTTAAGCTGGTATAAAATTAAATTTTAAATGTTCAGGAGGGAAGAAAGTAAAATAAATATTTTCTTAATATTTCATGCTGGCTTTTTAAAATGTCTACCTCAGTCAATTGTTATTCCTATCAACAAATTTACTTTTTTGCATTTGAGATGATTTCATTTAATTCTATCTTGTCTGAAAAGTGGAACTACCAAGTGCCTTTATTTGAATGCATATAGTGCTACTGTTTAATAAAAATTAAAGTGTAGTATTTTGCACTTGTAATAGTGTCATGCACAGCAAGATATCATCTTTCATTTTAATGAATGTTAAATAGTTCCACAGTACAGAGATCCTTGTTGTCAAAATGGTATTACTAAAGGTATTTTCGATCACAAAACCCCAGTGGTCTACACTTTTGTTTGCTTTGACATTATTAAACTTCTCTGTTTCTTTAACTATGACCCTAATGACTACATTTGCATGATAGGAAAGTTTGCTTTGTGGCTCAACTTCTGTCAACACACTGTTTGCATGTAGTGTTCTGAGCTTAGTGTTTGATGAGCAGTCAGTACAGTATTTTCAGTCGAAGTCAATAATTATGCAGAATCAATAACGTTTTCTTCTTTTGTGTTTGTCTTTGTTATTTCTTTGATATGGCCTCTAGGATGCTGCAGGCAAAGTGCTGGACCGCTGGGCCATCATGTCCAGGGAAGAAGAGATTATTACCCTTCAGCAGTTTCTGAGGTTTGGAGAAACCAAATCCATTGTGGAGCTGATGGCAATTCAAGAAAAAGAAGGGCAGGCAGTGGCTGTGCCATCTTCAAAGGCAGACTCAGATATAAGGACTTTTATTGAAAGCAATAATCGAACCAGGAGCCCAAGTCTCCTTTCTCACCTGGAGAACAGCAACCCTTCCAGCATTCATCATTTTGAAAACATCCCCAACAGCTTAGCATTCCTGCTTCCGTTTCAGTACATAAATCCAGTGTCTGCTCCTCTGCTAGGTTTGCCTCCAAATGGTCTCCTCCTCGAACAGCCATCACTGAGATTGCGGGAACCAAGCCTTTCAGGCCAAAATGAATATAATGAAAGTAGTGAATCTGAAGTTTCTCCAGCACCTTTCAAGAATGAGCAGGCATCCAGCAGAAATGCCTTGACCAGCATCACAAATGTCGAACCCAAATCTGAGCCATCTTCTGTGTCCCCAGTCCAGACATCCACACCTGTCAATGATCTATCCAAACCCGAACATACAAAAAGCTCCTTTCGAATTCACAGAATGAGGAGGATGGGGTCAGCATCCCGAAAAGGGAGAGTGTTTTGCAATGCATGTGGCAAGACCTTTTATGACAAGGGAACGCTCAAAATTCACTACAATGCAGTTCATCTTAAGATTAAACATAGGTGCACAATTGAAGGTTGTAATATGGTCTTCAGCTCACTCAGAAGTCGCAACCGCCACAGTGCTAACCCCAATCCCCGACTTCATATGCCCATGCTAAGGAACAATCGAGACAAGGATCTGATCCGTGCTACGTCAGGTGCAGCTACCCCTGTCATAGCAAGTACAAAATCCAATTTAACATTAACAAGTCCTGGACGGCCTCCAATGGGTTTTACCACTCCCCCACTAGACCCTGTGTTGCAAAATCCTCTACCTAGCCAACTTGTGTTCCCAGCTTTAAAGACTGTACAACCTGTTCCTCCTTTCTACAGAAATCTTCTTACCCCCGGAGAGATGGTGAGTCCTCCAACCTCATTACCTACTAGTCCTTTAATGCCAGCAGCTGGTACAATTGATCAGCCTCCAATTCCTCCATCAGAATCAACATTATCTGCAGTAGGGATGCCTGGCCAAGATGCAAATGCTGAACTTGCCCCAAAGAAAAAACCAAGGAAGTCCAGTATGCCTGTGAAAATAGAGAAAGAGGTTATTGACACTGCTGATGAGTTTGATGATGAAGAGGATGAGGTGAATGATAGCAGAAGTGTGGCTAATGATGGTGGGCATGACAATCACTGCCATTCTCAGGAAGAGATGAGCCCTGGGTTGTCTGTGAAAGATTTTTCAAAAAATGGAAGAAACAGGTACATCTCAAGAACAGAACTAAGAAGAACAGACAGTATGACATCAGAAGACCAAGAGCATGAGAGAGACTATGAAAATGAGTCCGAATCCTCAGAGCCAAAACTGTGCGAGGAATCCATGGAAGGAGATGAACATATGATGCATGAAAGAAATAACAAGCCTATGATGAACCATGACAGGCCAGATGAAAACCACCATGATACTTCCCATCACGATGACATTAAAGTTAAGGAAGAATTTACAGACCCTACATACGAGATGTTTTACATGAGCCAATATGGACTTTACAATGGAGGCAGTGCCAGCATGGCTGCTCTTCATGAAAGCTTTACTTCCACTTTCAACTATAACAGCCCCCAGAAATTCTCCCCTGAGGGTGATTTGTGCTCCAGCCCAGATCCCAAGATCTGCTATGTGTGTAAAAAGAGTTTCAAGAGTTCTTACAGTGTGAAGCTCCACTACAGGAATGTTCATTTAAAAGAGATGCATGTCTGCACAGTGGCTGGCTGCAATGCTGCTTTTCCTTCCCGGAGGAGCAGAGACAGGTTAGTAAATAACATATTTATTAACTAATTTCTAGGGTAGTGAAGAACAGAGACATGATAGCATATTCCTTTATTAGTCCTCCATTCACTTTGTGTTTTGATATCTAGAACAGGGTGCACCAAGAGTGTCAGTGCCTTGTGAAATCATTGAAATTACAGCTGCAAATTAACATATATAGACACGCTTGCAGTTTGAGACATTCATTAAATTTCTAGTATTCAAATTCACTGTCATACATCCTCCTATGCATTTAAAACTAATTCTCAAAATTAATGATTATCTGATCTCTTATATTAGATAATCTTATATAAGGCTGTTCATATAGTTGAAACTTATTGTATCATCTAAAGAATATATGCATGATGACAAGCATTTCCATATAGGCTGTTCCTTCTGTTACATTCAATTTCTTCTTACCTTGATTCAAAATTGAGAAAAGATGATTTATAGAAAACCTGCTTTCTAATGTGTGCTAAAACGGATGGTGATTCCAATGATGATATTTTGCACTATTTCATGTGGGAACCTGCTAAGTGTCCTACTAGTGCTTGACATGGATGATAATATTGATAAAACACACCTTAGGCAACCCCCATTAAAATGAATATAGGAAACAATGTTTTCTGGATGGTTCCTTTATATGTATTTTGCATGTTTGCGAAAATTCCCACTCACTTGAATGAACACTGTGCATGAAAGGGAGAAATACAGGCATGTTTTTAAAAATGTAATCAGACTAATACTGAATATAAATGATATCATATTGCAATCATATTAGATCAGTTCTGAATTAATTTTGTTTTAACAGAAGCAGCTGGTCCAAGTTGTCTATATTTTTTTGTTAATAAAGATTTTTTTTCAAATTTTCACACAAATACAGGGCATGCTAACAATTTATTCCATGTTTATAGATCTATAGATTCTCACACAAATGCACACACTACATTATATTTTCTCAGAATTCTCAAACAGATGAAAATGATCCAGCCAATATTATGAAAATACATTGCTTAAATCCTACTATTTATGCTTAATTCCTTGACTCCCACATACTAAAAAATCAAAACAAAGAAAGGTTCCAACTCCATTACAGTCTTCTGGATCACAGTCAGTCCCAATGTCTTCCTCAAGTTTTTAGTGTACATGATGTGAATTACAATTAATAGTGTACAATTACTAATAAGTAATTGAAAACACAATTATTATAACAGTACGCTTGAGAGTATGTTTTGCAATGCTCAATGATTACCTAAACAATAATTCAGGTAATTTTGAATTTTTTTAAGCCTTCGGCTCACTCACACTCTGTCCAATTTTATGCCCAAGAAGTTAAAAAAGCAAATGTTTCCCTTTTAACTTTAGAATATAACATAGTTTCCTATCTTATGTATGAACACAACACAGAAAACAGTGGCTTGTTATTACGAAAGATGTATGTAATAGAATTTGATTTTGCACACTTCACTTAGAACAGCTAGCACTCCCAGCTTCTGAATGAAAAGGGAAGTTCATTCCCAGCCACGTAAACTCTGTTTTAATAATAATCTAAACTGAGTTTCTGTAGGAAATTAGGCTTTTTTAAACCTTACGATGTGCTCTTACTTTGCACCTAATGGTACAAGGTCAAGTCTGAGCAGAATCCAAAGAATTGTGAAACTGTTTCCACGAGGGAACTAATACTTTTATTTCCCAAATCCCAATGGGGAGATTGCATGCTAAAGTACTGTTATTAACGGAGTTTTCCAATTCATGTGGGAGCTGATAATTAAAAGAGGAAGACTATCAAATTGTTGTTTCAATATTTCAAGCCCCTTTTATTGAAGTTTCCCTTTGAATCTTGAAATAGTTTGAATGAAGCTTCCTTGAATTCATTGACAATTATGTCTAGACAATTTTACATTATCCTGAAATCAGCAGGATTAACTTGATGTCCCATAATCTGCTTTCTGAAGTTGTGTTGAGATCACTGTAGCATATTCCTCCTTGTGGAAAGAAAGTTTCATGTGGGCAGGTTACATTCCAGCATTAGCTGTGGGTCAATATATACAATATATTTTAACCTTCGGAGGCAACTGTTTTAGAACGATCTAGACAGAGGCAGACAGACAGGTAGATATTCTAGAAAAATGTTTTTGGATAATATAACAATATCTGATGACAAAGATTTTGGAAATTTATTTTATCGTTCCCTCTGCAGCCTTCCATACCTTAGAAAAACCAGTTCCAGAGGTTTTTCAGGTCTCCAGAATTCATTTTTGGAGTATACGGGTGGGACTCCATTAAGGAAAGATAAAGATAAATCCTAATCTCCTTGTTTGGATAGCATCTATTCTTCGGGCAGCAAAAATCCTCCAGTTAAGAGTTTCCTTCTCAACCTTAACAAGAAAATAGGCACAACGCTTACTTAACTATTTCCTTCATAAATAGGTTTGCATGAGTGCAGCAGTTTTGTGAACATCAGAATGCAAGTCCATGTGGTGCCCTAGTTGTTCTTGACATACACCCAAATAATTATAAGCTATGAATGGTGCTCTGGATTTCCGTTGTCTGCAGAATTTGACCACAGACCCTGTAAAAAGGTCCAACGAGTTTTGCAAAAGTGTTAGTAACTTTTCCAGACACTTCAGTGGAAAGTAACAAGAGCAATATTTTTAAACTCAGTATTATAATATCTTGTGATATTGGAAGGTCATCTATGGGAGAAGAATGAATGTGAGATAGGAAAGGTGTGAAGTACTTAGGCAGTGTTCTTATAGCTACCTACACTTTCATAGATTCTGGAAGTACTCACGTGCCCATGTATGACTAAGGTCTCTTCTACACTGTCATATAAAATCCAGATTATTTGCTTTGAACGAGATTGTATGGCAGTGTAGACATATATAATCCAGTTCAAAGCAGATAATGTGGATTATCTGCTTTGATATTCTGGATTATACAGCAGTGTAGAAGGGGCCTGAATTTAAGAGATCCCATTCTTCCTGCTAGTTATTTATTCTGGCCTTATACCCATCCATATCTAGACAGAATGATAAGAATTTGAGTTAAATTCATTTCCCAGTGCGTTTATGTCATTTAAAATTTTCTTGTTCACCTTTGTAGAGATTGCTTCTTAAAAGAAATCTGACAAATAAAGTCCATTATGTGTAGTCCTTCAAGTAGCAAAGGAGACCTTGAAGAGATAAACCAGTGTATAGTGTCTTATTGACTTCACTGCCAAATAACTGGAGTAATAACACTGAGAGAACTTATTTCAGTCACCTTAATGGGCTGTTAACTTTAGAACCCAATTATAGCCATTTCAACACTAATTGCTGTACCAGAAATGGGGAACATCCAACTTAATGCACACATGAAGGCTATCACATTTAACATTTTATTTAAGACATCATTTGATAGAATATCTCCCTAGAAATATGACTAGTAGAAGAAGAGGTAGTATCAGCTGCATTTAACCAGTTGGAAAAACCCTCAAGTTTACCAAGTATAATTCAACCATTCTGATAAAACAGTCCTCATATTACAAGAAATATAGGTGCTTTTTGAAAGAATGTAGAAGCTTTATGAACCACTGTTAAAATTAAGTGTGCTATACTACACTTAGCCTTAGTTTTTGTGCCCTGATAAGTATTTCACCTTCAATATTTTGGATGTTTATGCAGTAAAATCTGATTCATAAGGTATTGCACATTCAGTCAATATGCAGTATCATACACTGCATCCATTTATCAAGGATGGGCAAGTCTGTGACCCCAGTGCTGATGGACTCCACATCCCATCAACTGTATTCAGTCTGGCAATTATGAGAGCAGATATCAGGAGTACTTCCTCTAGGCCACACATTTCCCTGTTCTTCTTAGGGCCTTTCCACACAGCTGAATAAAATCTCACATTTTCTGCTTTGAAGTGAAATATATAGCAGTGTAGACAACAGATAACCCAGTTCAAAGCCAATATTGTGGAATTATCTGCCTTGATAATCTGGGTTATATGGCTGTGTGGAAGAGCCCTTTGTCTCTCCCTTTCCAAGTTACTATAAAAAATACACTACAAGAATTAAGTAGAGTAAACAGACAGAAAATTTAGACGTTATGACATCCTTAGGGAAAGTGAAATGCAAAACCAGTAGGCATAAATTTCTTCACCATTTTGGATTCATAGGAAAAATAACTGAGTTAGAGTCATAGCAAAAAAAAAATAACTACATTGAGAAAGATACAGTTTGTGTTAGACAGAAGGAGGAAACTTCCTATTAGACTGTTATTCTTTAACTTTAGGACTGAATAATTCAAAATGGTTGACATCCTTCTTCATATGCTTTAATCTATCCAGCATGGGGGTTAGATTATTTTCTCCATGACACCCCATACTGTTCAATAAAACCTTTAGATTGGCTTTACTTAGGGTTTTCCTGATTCCATAGAATTCTGTCTCCAAGCTCTGGAAATTTGTCCTCTTGGAAGATTTTAGTATGATTAGTTCATGTTAAAGAAATCCAGTGCAACAGGTGACTAATTAACACATGTATAACAGTGATCACCCAATTAGTTGTCTACTTGACACTCTTAATTCCAGTGGAGTTTCAAAGAGTTGACCACCATATATGACTAATGGATTATATTTGACATGGAAAGTAAAATTTATGTTAGCATGCTTAGAAGAATCTGCCTTCTTTTATAGCGGTCATACTACCAAGTTAATATCCATTTTTATTGCATTCAGCAATGGCAATTGAAATATTTCTTGTTACTTTCAGCTATGTTGGGGTTCAGTGTCCAGGCAGACATGTTACCTCACTTTTTCATGTCCCAAAATTTATGTAAAATAAATGCACTTCCAGCAGTTGGGGAAAAAACTGTTCCAAGTAACAAAGAGAGGAACACTACGCTTTGACATCCTCTGAGTAAAGGACGCTGATTGTTAAGGTTTGTCTTTAACTTTTCACTGAACAAGAAGCATGTGTGTTTGTCTAGAAGGTGGGAAAGGTGATTCACCCCAT